AAAAAAAAAAAATCAAACTTGTAGACTTAATAACCAAATTCAATAAAGTAGCTGGATACAAGGTCAACACTCAAAAATCAATAGCCTTCTTGTACATGAATAACAGACTCACTGAGAGAGGAACTGGGGAAACAACACCTTTTATAATAGCATCTAAAAAAAGATATACCTAGGAATCAATTAATAAAGGAAGTAAAAAACCTCTATTTTGAAAACTACAGCACTCTGAAAAAAGAGATCAAAGAGGATATTATAAAATGGAAAAATATCCCTTCTTCTTTGGTAGGAAGAACCAATATGCAAATGGCCATATTTTCAAAACTGTTATATAGATTTAATGCAATCCCGATCAAAATTCCAACAGTATATCTCATAGAATTAGAGAAAACAATCCTAAAATTCATTTGGAACCAGAAGAGATCTACAACAGCAAAAGCAATTCTGGGCAACAAAGGCAAGGCAGGGAGCATCACAATCCCTGACCTAAAATTATACCACAAAGCTACTGCGATAAAAACAGAATGGTACTGGCAAAAGAACAGACCTGAAGATCCATGGAACAGATTAGAAGATGCAGAAACAACTCCAGATACATTCAGTCACCTTATCTTTGATAAAGGAGCCAAATACCTTCACTGGAAGAAAGATTACTGGGTGGTACTGGGTTTCAACTTGCTAAAGACTAAAGCTAGACCCGTATCTTTCACCATGCACTAAACTAAAACTGAAATGGATCAGAGATCTAATATCGAAACAGAAACACTAAATCTGCTGGAAGATATGTTAGGTAGAACTCTTAAAGACAGTGGCATAGGAAAGGACTTTATGAACAAAACCTCGGTCACGTGGGAACTATCACAAAAAACCAACCACTGGAACCTTATTTTATTAAAAAGTTTTTGCACAGCAAAAGAAACTACCAACAGAGTGAAGAGACAACCCACAATGTGGAAAAAATTTTTACCAGCTTTTCTTCAGAACAGCTACTATCTACTATCTAGAATATATAAAGAACTCAAAAACAGAACCCCCAAATTTAAAGACCCAATCCAAAAATGGGCATCTGAAATGAATAGACATTTCTCAGATACAGAAGTAGAAAAAGCAAATAAATATATGAAAAAATGTTCACTATCACTGGTCATTCAAGAGATGCAAATTAAAACAATGCTGAGATTCCATCTCACTCCAGAAAGAATGACTGCTATCAAAAAATCAACCAAGGGCCAGGGATTTAGCTCAGTGGTTCCACCACCTACCTTGCAAACGCAAGGACACAAGTTTGATCCCCAGTACCAAAAAAAAAGGACAAACATGTTTAAAGCCTGTATTGTTGGGCCAGGGATTTAGCTCAGCAGTGCTGCCACCTGTCTTGCAAGTGCAGGGTCCTGAGTTCAATCCCTGGTATCACAAAAAAAAAAAAAAAAAAAAAAAACTGCATTGTTTGTGTCTCTGTGCAAGAAAACAAAAGTGTGAAATAAGGACCAAAATGTATAATAGATATTGGAAAATAGAAAGAAAATATTCAAATGACAAGGGGAATAAGGAAAGGGGAAAGGAGAAAGGAAGGAAGACAGAAGAAAAGAGACTAGAAGGAAAAATGGAAACAAAGCTTTTGTAAATAAGGAGGGAAAGTGGCGTTGAAGGGAGGGGAGGGGAATGGGGAAAAAAAGAAGAAAGATATACTGTACCATGTACAGGTACAAATTCCCTGTGGTGAGTCAGGCGTGGTGGCACATGCCTGTAATCCCAGTACTTGGGAAGCTGAGGCAGGAGGATCTCTGTGAGTTCAAGACCAGCCTGGGCTACATAGTGAAGTTCCAGGTCAGTCTCAACTATATAGTGAGACCGTGTCTCAAAAAAAAAAAAAAAATTCCCTATGGTGAATGTTATCACTATGTATATCTAAAATGTACTGATAAAAACAATCCTATATAGGCACACTCCTATAATTCTAGCTCCTTGAGAGACTGAGGCAGGAGGATTGCAAATTAAAGATAAGCTGGACAACTCAATGAGAACTTGCCTCAAAATAAAATAAAATGGGCTGAGGTGTAGCTCAGTGGTGAGGTCCCAGACTCAATCTACAGCACCAATAATT